AGGCGGCCGTCTGCCCGAGACGCGCAGATGGAAGAATCAGCCAGAGCTCGAGCCTGCGGCTGCCGAGCCCTCTGCTGCGACATTTTTGAAAAGGTCTTTCACTGGGCAATCTTTCGTGGTCTGCGCTGCCCTGGACAAGGCTTCTGACCACGCCCACTGGAGCAGCTGTCGCAGACCGTCCTCGTGGCCATGCAGCTGCCAGCTCCTACTTCGAGAGCCAAGGCCTGGCCAGTAAACCTGCCACCGTCCATTTGCCGTGTCCTCGTAGACGCGAACAGGGCTCGGGAGCAGGCGTTGGGCATCCGGTTGAGAGACGGGGCCGGTGGGAAAACGGCCCTTGACGAGATTCCCATCGACGCCTTTGTGCTCGACTTTGACATGCTTCATCTTGGCCCGCAGCTTTGTGTAATCAGTCAAAAACTCGTCTACGACTTTTTTCTGGAAAGTCATCGTGTCTACTTTCTTGTCGAAGTCCTCCTGGTCCTGTTTACTGAGCAAATCAGATGTCTCTTCGAGCATTAGCATGTCCTCAAGGTGCGAGCTGGTTTTCAGCCTCGCCCCCAGAATCTCCAACAACTTTTCGTCCGTAAGCTTGGGTAGGAATTTCCGCAGCAGGGCGAGAAGCCTGTCCAAGTCGCTCTGGTCGCTGCCCGCCTCGAGGCCGAAGTGTTTCATGATGAGCTTGAGGCCGGGGCCCCTGATGTCCCAGAAAGCATTGTGAGCTGCTTCTTCCATGAGCTTGCGAGGTTTCGTCACGACCTGAGCGCTAATGACTGGGCGCTCAGTCATCGCCTCTGGCGTCGCCCTCTTCATGGCAACTGCTGAAGCTGGGCTGCACCATTTCACGGTGGTCGCCATCCACTTCTCGTCGTAAACTGCTAGGAAGCAAGGTGCCTTCTCCAGGTCTATCTTCAGAGAGGCCAACACTGTCCCGTTGAAGGCCGCGATGCAAGGCCAGGCCACAACGACGACGCCGTGCTGGTGGCCCAAACTGAGATACCACTGATCGGACCCTACGGCGCGCAGTGCCAAGCGCCTGCCACCAGCCAGCTGCGCCAAGAAGCACCCCGACGCGACCTTGCCCCAAGCTTTACTCTTTTTGGCAACTTGCACAAGGAACGAATCACTGAATACAACGTTGCTGTAAGTCGCGGTAGTGCTGAACCAGTCGGGTTTCGTGGTGATGCGCCCTACCCAGGCGGGCGAATCTTTGAGCGCGCACTTGAACAAACTCTTGGGCAGGATGGCCTCGGCTCCGATAGGGGCCACTCTGTCACGCCAGGGGGGCTCGTGGTAATTGTACAAGTGTCCAACTACAGACTCATTAATGAGGTTTGCGAAAAATGACTCGGTCGGTTGCTGCTGGATGTTCCCTGCCGGGTTCTCCATGCGCCTGCACTTGCCGAAACAATTCTCGCTTATCAAAGACTGGCCAGCCCCAGACAGGCGCTGCTCAATGTGTTTGCGCATTTCAGGCGAAGACTTGCCGCCATTCTTGGTCAGCATCTGCAAGAGTTGCTGCGTCGGGACAAGCTTCCACTGGGAGCGTTTCACAATCTTTTTCCAGAAGCCAGAAGTCTGCTTCTCAGCATCCGCGTACGCAGCATGCTCCTCAAAGAAATCCTTCTCGGCTTTCTCTCGGACCGCGGGGTCGGTTGACAAGAACTCCGCCTGCCGGCCAGTCCAACCATGCGTTAAGTATTCCATTCGCTTGAAGCGAGCGGCAACCAAGCCCAAAGAATATCGAACCGCCAAGTCTGCGAGATAGTCTTGGTCTGCGATCCACGGGTGGTGCTCATCAAAACACTCGTGGTGCTCGCCGAACTGCGTCTGCAGCCCAATCTTATCCAAAACATCGCTGTCCTCGAACAGCCGCACGGTCTGGATCAGTGGTTCTCGCATCTTCTGATCCCCAACTTCAGCTTTCATGAACTTTAACATTGCAGGGGCCGATCGCATTTCCTTGTTCTGCTGCCCATACCACTTCCGAATCGGGCCAACGAGTGTAAATAAGATGCGGCCGGTCGCCCTGGTAGTTGGATTTAACTTCATTGCCAGGGCAAGCTTCACGTTGCTTTTCAAAGCAGCCCTGTATTTTTTTACCAGTTCGTTCGATTTCGCGACTCCCAGTTTCCCACCTTCCGAACCATCAGTTCCACCGCCTGACGGCGAGACTTTAAACAGGGCCGCCCAATCGACGTTATCGATGAAACCCTCTGACAAAGAATAGTGCAGCAAACGCACAGTCGCCCAAGTCCACCGGTTGTCGTAGTCAGCCAGCACGTCGGTAACGTTCGCAAATCGGCAGATCTTGGTGTTGTCACCCTTATTGTGGTAGCCGGGCTGCTCCTGGATTTTCTTTGTGATGAGTTTGAACTCCTCGTGTTCCTTGAGATCCTTGGAGGCAAGCTCTTCAGACATGTCCAAATCAGCAACAAGGTCGTCACGATATCTCCTGGTGGGAAATTTTGGGGTTCCAATCGCCCTCGCACGGAGGCCCGTGACGATTAAGAAGTTTTGGCCTATCGGCTACTCCCCCTCCTCCTCCTCCTCCTCCTCCTCCTGCTCCTTGTTGCTGCTCCCCCTCCTCCTCCTCCTCCTTGTTGCTGGCTGCTGCCTTCGGCCCGAGGGCCCCCCCAAAAGGGCCCTCAAGCCCCCCGCATGTCAACCGTGCGCGCAAACTCCCCCGACCGTGTGGAAGGGTTCCCATGGCACGTCGCCTCAGAAGGTCTCGGCCGCGGTTGGGGCGGCGGCGGAACTCTCGGGACTGAAGAAAGATAAACCATTGCTTTCGCATCCCCGGGTTACCTCAACTGGCTTTCCTCCGAGACTCCGTCCGCAATCCGCCGCGCAGACTCCGTGACATTTACACGGGGGGGGGGTCCAAATTGGTAAACGCCCCCCGATACAAAAGGCTGTGCTTCCACCAAGACTCCTCCCTCACAAAGGGGGCAAACATTTACTTTAAGTTTCCGGGCTCGCTAACGCCCCCCCGTGCTATGCCCGCACCCCCTGCCTCGATGCGGCAACGGCGAGACTCAGCATTGCCCCCCCCAGCCGAGTTCCATCCCAGCACGTTGACCAAAATAGGGGCGCCGAAGGGGATCTAGAGATAGCGCCGATATAGCGCCACTAACGACGACGTCGACGAGGATGACGACGACGACGACGCCGACGACGACGATGCGACGTCGACGTCGACGGCGGCGGCGGCGGCCACCTAGCTGCGGCCGCGTCTCGGCCGCAGCTAGTAGCCTGGCGCCCCGCGCCAAGCTCGGACGTAAACGACGACGACGACGGCGGCGGCGGCAAACGACGACGACGATAACGACGACGGGGACGACGACGGCGACGACGACGGCTACGGCCACCTAGCTGCGGCCACGTTTCGGCCGCAGCTGGATGGCAAGTTGACCCGCTCGCAGCCTGCAGCTCGGCCGTAAACTACGGCGACGACGACGACGTGGACGACATCGGCGACGGCAACGACGACGGCGGCGGTGGCGGACGCGACGACGATGGCGACGACGACGACGACGACGGCGACGGCAACGACAACGACGTCGGCGGCGGCCGCGGCGGCGGCGGCAGCGGAGACGGTGCCGGCGGCAACGGCGCAACGACGACGACGACGGCCACCTAGCTGCGGCCAAGTGTAGGCTGCAGCTTTGTGGCCGGGCGCCCTGCTCGCAGCTCAGCCGCAAACGACGGCGACGACGACGTCGACGACTGCTGCGACGACGACGACGACGGCGGCGGTGGCGGGCGCGACGCGGACGACGACGGCGGCGGCGGCGGCACGACGACGACGACGTTGATGACATCGAAGACGAGGACGAAGACGACGAGGACGACGATGACGACGACGACGGCGACGGCCACCTAGCTGCGGCCTCGTTTCGGCCGCAGCTAGGTGGCCGGACGCCCCGCGCCCAGCTCGGACGCGAACGACGACGACGACGACGACGACGACGACGACGACGACGACGACGACGACGACGATGACGGTGACGGCGGCGACGTCGACGACGGCTGCGAGAACGACGACGACGGCCATCTAGCTGCGGCCACGTTTCGGCCGCAGCTAGGTGGCCAGGCGCCCCGCTGGCAGCTCGGCCGTACACGACGGCGGCGGCGACGACAACGACCACGATGACGTCGACGATGGCGGCGGCGACGACGACGACGGCGGCGGCGGCGGACGCGACGATGGCGATGGTGACGACGGCAGCGGCGGCAACGACGACGACGACGGCGGCGCCGAAGCGGATCTAGAGATAAGGCCCTGTTTGGGACCTCGTGGGCCGCCCCTGTTGGGAATCTCGGCGAGGGGGGGTGTATTCTCCGGCCCGGGACTTGCCCATCGAATCTCTGCGTTCCCGAAAGGGCCCATTCAACCTTAAGCACCCATGGCGTAAGTCACCATTGCGATTACGAGGGGAAGGGCGGAGGCGAAGGAGGAGGTGGAGGGTGGAGGGTGAGGAAGGAAAAAAAGGGAACGGCGGGGGAGGAGGGGGGTGTTCTCAAGCAGGCTGATTGGATCACGCTGGGCACGTGCGCGGAGACGGACTGGAGCGCGGGCTGGAGCGGAGGGGACCGACGCAACAAACCTGCAACGTTCGCGCCCGTGCTAAGCGCACGTTGTTACGTTCGCTGCGGCGCGCTCTGCCTGTCCCGGCCCTCCGAATGGGAAGGAGGCGGGGCAAGGAAGGGGGCCGCCCGCCTAAGAAATTCACCCGCCAAGAAGAGGCAGGCAAACGTGCGCCTCCCCGGGAAGCTCGACCAGTGGGCGGGCTGGCCCGTGGCCCCCGCGCGGCCGAGAGCATCGAAGATATGATACTCGTCGGGACGACCCCCAGTATCACCATTGTAAGAATTCTACGAGGTAGCACTTACTAGGCTACATTCCGGGGCCTCAATGCAGAACCCGACTGGGGAGCGAATGATTTATCCCCCATACCCCCTTGCAAGACCCCCGTCGCGTCCGAAAGAGCGGGCACTGGCAGGTCGCATGCGCCGCGTACTCTTTGGAGGACTCCGAGATCGCGCAGTATCGCGCCTCAGACCCCCACGGCGAGTGCAGCAGATTCAGCATTATGACTGCCAGGTGGGTCCACGCCTGCAGCTCCACCTCCTTCAGCGCACTCTCCTGGTCCCGCCACACCCCATGGCTGATGTCATAGAACATCTCGCAGTTCATGTTCTCGCCGTACCGCATGTAGTAGCCTCCGCATACACCGTCGGGGCCTTGGTCAGGGCACATGCCCAAGTAAGGCCAAGTCCAAGGGTCCCTCGTCAGCCAATCGGTGCTTGGAACTCGGAAGTGGTCCAAGCCAACTGCGCAACAAGATTGGAGAATCTGGTCCACGCATGCAACCCACACTGCTGATTTCTTCCGCTGTTTTTTCGGGGGCCCTTTGAATGCGCCCTCGTCGTCCAAGGCCCGTTTCCTCAGGAATTGCCTGGCGTTGTCCACCCACTGCTTCCCCGCAGCCGCCTGCTCTGCCTGGCTGCTCCAAGCGGTAGCCACGGCGAGGTCGGAGACGAATGAGGGGACGACCTGGCGATCAGTGCGGCGATGGTGACGCGATGGGGGAAGATCGGGGTAACGGAGGGACAAGCAGGAGGAGCACGGAGGAGGGGCGGGAGGAGAACAGTGCAAGGCGGCGGGGCAAGGGGCGGCAGGTGCCAGAGGAGGCGGGGAAGAGAGGGGGGGCAGAAGGAGGACAGCGGAGGAGATGGGCAGAAGGAGGGGGTAAGGAACATGAAAGAAGCAAGGAAAAACAAAAGGGAGACGGGCCAACAACGGCAGACCCAGGATCCGTAGTACGGGCCCAAAAGTTCGTAGTACGAAACCACGAACCCCCAAAAGCTCCGGACATCTGCAAAAGACGCCCCGTACTACGGGATACTGGGCGGCACGATTTTGTCCCCGGACCTTCGGGGGAAATAATGCGCCAACGTTTGTCGGCAGCACAATGGCTCCGCATACTGTCGGCTTCTTGCCGACGGTACCTTGGTCCAACGCGACGTGCAGGAAGGTGGGCCGGTGGAACGACTCCTGAATGCTGATGAAATACTTGGTGAGCATCTTGTTGCCAGTCCTGCTGTTGATGCTCGCGTGCACGACGTCGTCGCCGTTTGCCTGGGCCACCGCTGCGACGTCGGCGGCCTTCCCCACCCACCATACAAGCTGCTGAAAGATCATCGTGAGGGTGTCGTCGACGAGACTTGTCTTGACCAGGGCCTCCAGCAAGTTCAACACGCGCGCGTGCCCCTCCTCGTCGAGGGAGCTGGGAGGCATCAGCCGGGTGAGAGCCCGACATAGAGGGTTTCTCTTCCCCGTGAGTGGCCTGAGCTTCAAGCCCCTTGCAGCGCTGTACTCGATCGTGGTGCCATTCGAACCAGCGGGCCAGCCCTCATCCCCGAGCCTGATGTCGGCCAGGAACATGGTGAAGTCCCCGAGGCTGGACATTGAGACTAGGGCCTCCAGCAAACCGCGAGCAGACACCCGATTGCCCTCGGACAGTCCGCCGAAGTTCTGAGAGCCGAAGGACCATCTCGCAAGCAACGCAATCAAACCGTGCGTACTGGCCATCCTGAAGTCGGCGCAGCGGTGGTCCTCCAGGATGTGCATCCCGAGAAAAGCAGCTCGGTGCCGTTGCCCCTGGGGCGCCTTATTTTCCAAGTGCCCGGGCAACGCACATTTTTCGCGAAGGAATTCGTCCCACTTCTGCCACCCAGCAACCGTCCATCTGCCGGCCGCTTTCTTCCCGCGGAGCCGAAGTTGTTCATAGAGGCACTCTACGTCCCACCAGGCTGCTGCCCCTCGTCTCGGCGGCTGGGTGACGTACAGGTGTATCTTGACGTCGCCGTGTGGGGGCGAATTAATAGTGATATCCCGGTCCCCATTCTTACCTTTTAGCCACTGGGTCAGAGGGACTAGTTTTATTTCGCTCCCGATGCCGACGTCGACATCGTACTCACCGTCGGCACTGCCACGATGCAAAGGGAACCTAAGCTTATTGGCCACCCATGCAGTCGTCTCCCCGCTCTGCACGAAGCAGCTCCCAGAGTCATCCTCGTGCAACTTCCACGGTTGAGGAAGCCGCTCCAAGTGAACAAACTCGCCCGTCAGCTTATGGACTAACACCTGGCCCCCAGATGCCGGCAGCAGAGCCACATGCCCTGCATCAGGCGCCGGCTCCGATTCGTGGGCCATGGTGGTGTGTTGGGGTACAGGATGCACCCTCTCAGCGAACCAAAATGGCTACGGGTGCTGGGGGGGGGCTGGAGGGCGAGAGGAAAAGAACAGGCTGAGGGAAACTGGAAGGTCAGAGGCCCAATTGAAGGAAGGCCCCATCAGGTACTGCCCAACGCCTCGTCCGAGCCAGCCCCGCCCAAGCCGCTGGTCAGGGGCCCAACCGGTGCGATGCTTTCCTGGACCTTGTGTACGGGTTCTCGTTGTGCGCCCCTGCCCAGGAACGCAGGGGGCAGGCGCAATTCATGTCCCTGCCAAGGGCGGGGCGCCGGAAGAATTCTGCGAAGTTCGGCGCTCGTCTGACAGAAACGAATCGGGGGGCCCAAGAGGGGCACTCTAGCAACCCACAGAGCCTCCAGTAACGATGCGACGCTCCCAAGAGAGCCCCAAGACGAGCCGGCAAACCTCCTTGAGAGCAGAACTAAACGAAAATAATCCCAAGAGCCCCGCAACATTGCCTAGATAGGCCCTGTGAGAGTTTTCAAAAACTTTGAAACTGCGCCTGGGCGCTCGCCCTACGGGACGGCATTGAAAGCCCCAGAGGGCCCCGACATGGCCCCATCGGGGGGCGCCCGAAGGCCTCTTGAAGCTCTCTCACGGCCTTCCGGGGGATCTTCATGAGACACTTACCTGATTCGAGTTTCGAGGGAGAGCCCCAATCAGCCGCTCGAGCTAACCATGTAAAGACAGCGCGATATCCCAAAACCTGCCAGGCGGCCTAAGAGAGCCCCAATAGGCAAAACAACCTAACCAACTCTGAACACTTTGAGCGCCCAGAGTTGATGCAGGCTCCCGCTGCCTGGCCCGAGTCGTATGGGGCTCGGCAGTTTACAGCGCAGATCTTGAGGGCAACCGCGGTTCATCAGGCAAGACTCTCGTGAAATTCCGAATCGGCGTTGTTTCATAGAGCCCTCCATCCAGAGACCCAGGACAAGAAGGACGCGACCGCTCAGCCTCTCAGATTGCCACAAGGCTCCTCCGACCAGATCGCCAGACGTCGCCCATGGAAGAATGACAACCTTTACTTCTGCCAGCTTCAGCATGGGGCTTTGCTGGCCCCCAAAGGCGGCGGCATCGCATACGTATGCATAATATCAACCATTGGCAACTGAGGTTGTCCAGGGAGCGGGATTCAAAAAATACGATCCCAGGGATTATCCCAATTAGTTAATATTTGTCCCGGCCGCGTGGCCGATGCATTTTGTGCTGATACCTGTCTTGTGTTCTGTGCTGGCCCTGGCGTGTTTTTTGTCTGCTGTGGTGCTACCCCTTTTCGCTTGCGCACTCGGCGGGGGCGCTTGCACCGGCCCCAGATGGTCCAAAATGGCCTCCCAGATTGCTCAAGATAGCTCAAGTTAGTTCCATCATGCCTCCGCGAGGCCTCAAGACCGCCCAAGACGGTTCCAAATGCCTCCGAACCTCAAGGACGCCACCTAGAGTCCGCGACCGAGGACGCCTCAAACCCTTTCTTTTCAGCTTTTCGTTCCCGACGGGCTCTTGGGGCCTCAAGATGACTCAAACACGGCCCCAGAGAACCCCAAGAGGTACCCAAGGGGGGTCCACGAGGGCCCCCGGAGCGCCCAAGAGCGCACCATGAGCGCACCAAGAGCGCACCAAGAGGCGACTATGAGGGCCCGACGGGGAGACTGACATCAGGATTCCCCCTCGTGTGATCTATGGACTCGAAGATTGCCTTGAAAGGGCCTGCTCGGCTCCCAAGATATGCCATCAGCCATCAGAAACCCAAGAGGGCCCCGAGATGGCCCCGCGAGTGCCCAACAGGCTTGCACCATCGCCCCGAAATGGCTCCAAGACATAAGCCCCCCGAGGTCTCTAACTTGAGCACTGTTGGGTTCCTTGCTTCGCTGTCTGCTTGGCGACCCCACTCGTGCAGACAGCTCACCTGGGCATCGTTTCTGGATGAGCTGGCGGGGATACGCGAAGCGTCAAGAATTATCGCTCTGGGCAGAACTCTGCAAATCAGGGACGGTGCAAGGTTACGCGACCAAGCGTGGTCGCAGACGCACCGACCCGTGAACAGAAAATCGACCAAGCACGAAGTGCAATTTATTTGGGCCGCCAAGCAACTGAAGACATCGTGCCCCCCCCCCCGCCCGTGTTGACCAATTGTGCCCGAAAAAAAAAAAACAGCCGTGCATGAGCAGACCGCGGCAGGAGGATATCTGGTCTAAGTCGGACCGAGGACGGATGAAGGAGGAGAGACGAAGAGGAGGACGAGCGATGAGGATAGAGGGGGGAGAGGGGGGATCGAGGAGGAGGAAGATCCGCGGGAGAGCAAGTCGGAAAGAGAAGGGGGAGGACATAAGAGGGGATGAAGAGAAGCGAACTTGGAGCGACGAGGGGGGAGGAGGGAGGATGAGGACATAGAGGTAAAAAGGGGCGAAGGATAACGGAAATCGAAAGTTATGTCAGGAAAGTGGAGAACCGAGGAACGAGGAAGGTGGAAGGATGGGACAGGGAAGAGAAGGGACAAAGGAGAGAGGAAGGGGAAATAGAAAAGAGTGCGGGGAAGGAGGATGGCACATCCACGATGGGTGATGAAGGAAGGGAGAGGAAAAGCACGCTGCCGCAGGACCGAAGGGAAGGGCAACGGGAAGGAGGAGGAGGAGGAGAGAGGGGCAAGAATGAGGGTGTGGGCGGGAAAGCCTTCCCCGCAGCGCCGTCGAGAGCAATTTCCCCCAACTATGCTTGCACTGAGCCACAATGCAACCGCACTGCCCATCAGCCGTTCGATAGCGGATGGGCCGGCACGCCCAAAACAGCGGATGGGCCGGTACACGCAAAAACCCATACACAAAAGGGCCCCGGTAGTGATGCATGGGAACTGGCGCCCTCGTGCCCAGGCGCAGATGGACACGTTAGCTTGCTCCGCCGCGGGGCAGACGCAAAAGGGAGATGTGGCGGAAGCCGACGACGACGATCCTCCACTCTCCTCCTCCTTCTTTGCCTTACTATATCTTTCTTTCTGCCTTTTTCTCCGCCCCACCCCCTTCGATTCCCGCCCCCCTCGTTCCACGCCCTCCCCTCCCCCGTTCCTCTCTCCCCTCCTTCCCTGCTGTCGCGCCCCGCCGCGCCCTCCCCTACCCTTGCCCCGAGCTCGGGCTTGAGGCGTGGCCGGAAGCCACTATGAAGGTGCCGCTACCCTCTTGACCCCCATCCTCCTCTGGATCCTCGTTCTCCTCCTGCTGGCTCAAAATCCTTCTCCTTATCCTTTCCGTCGTTTACCTCCTCCTCCTCCTCCTCCTCCTCCTCCTCCTCCTCCTCCTCCCCCACGTCATCATCATCCTCCTCCCTCCCTGCCTGCTACGTTCCCCCGCCGATATGGTCCTCTTCCGCCTCGTCCTCCAGCGTTTTCGTAGTCGTCGTCTCCCTCGTGTTCTTGCCCTGCCGTGGCTCCTGCTTTTCCTCCCTTTCCTGCTCAAGATACTCCTCATCCTTCCCCCGCCCTCCCTCCTCTTCGTTTCCCTCCTGCTCGTCGTCGTCGCTATCCTCCTCCTCGCCGCACCCCTCCTTCTCCTAACTCCCCCTCCCACTCCTCGTCCTGAACGTCCTCATCATAAGCCCTGCTCCCGGATCCGTTCCGAGATCCCCGCGCTCAGGCCAGAATGCAGAATGCGTCACAGGAGCTATGGTTCCAAAAGGCAAGGTGGGGCCACGGCACTTCGTCCGTTGCGTTCGCCCCCTCCTCCCGGGCACCGCGGTCCGCGGCAATTTGCTAGAGAGCTCCTGCATGTAAGACAATATTAGCGCCCACAACGAGATTGTGATGACTGCCATGGGGACCTCGTGTTTCTGGGGCTGGGGCGGGGCCATTGCACACTGTCTGTCGCGCGATCGACAGAGGGCGGGCTGATACGCACCACTCGATGACTCCTCTGTCACAACAAACACAAGGCATGCAAACGGAAAGCCAACGACAACAAACATATGATATCGACCCATCCCTTTCGGTCTGCGCGACAGCAGCTCGCAGGAATCAGCCTGCTGACAGAAACGCCCCAAAACCACTGCGGAACAGAAGCAAAAACGAACGCCTCATAGCAGCGCCACCCCTTACCCCGCCCCCGCCCCGCGCGACGCAGTCGCCCTTCCTCAATAGGAAATTGCAAAGGAATTCGGGTGCACCAGCCCCCAGCCCCTGGATGTGGGGGTCTTGAAGGTGGGGGGGCATTGCGAAATCTGCCTGGCCCCCAGAGCAAATATAATAATGGGGCCGACTCCAAGCTTCGGCGGGGGAGGGGGGGGCGCTTTTCGGTGGCGGGGGTGCTGGCGAGGAGGGAGCGCGAGAGAAACGAAACGGGCTGGCAACCGACCAGACCAGCAAAGGAAAAGGCAACGACGCAGGGGAACGGAGCACGCGCCCATGAGATATCTATGGTGCCGCTCAGACACGACGCTTGGCGAAGGCGCTGTCCCTCGCTCTGTCACTGCGTCGGGGGGGCGCCCCTCGGGTGCGCTAGGATGCATTTCCGCCTTCCCGCGCGCTGCGAGGAAGACACAACATCGTCAGCTCAAACGTAGAATGGGAATAAGTCCGCCGCCCCCCCCCTGGGAGCCTAAGGCGGCGCCGCTGCCATGGGCAGCCTGAGCTCGTACCAGAACGCACGGGTACGCATACTGAAATGACTTCTGGTGATTGTACTGGGGGCAGGGGTTCATGTTTCTCTCCCGAGAAGAAACCCAAGGAACCCTGACGAAAAACGCTCGGTTTCTTGATGCGCGCCCCCACCGTGCCACACATGGATACAGTATCCGAGCAGGCCACCACGCCCTTCGAGGAACCACGCATCGGCATGAGATCAGAATCCCCTGGGGCAGACCTCCAACAAGACAACGTCGCGCGCTTGACCATCAACATCAGCAGCATCCACTACAAAAGAAACACCAACCTTGTCAAGATCCACGTCCACAGGTTGATCTCAGAAGCCATCGCAGACATC